TGGGCCTGTTTGCTTTGTGCACAGCGTTCCTGTAGCTCTGTCCCAGTGCTGGTGTCCCAGGAGCTGTGCCTGGCTCTGTGCTGTGCTGGTTCCCTGGGGACAGACACCGTGCCTTTGTCCTGTGCAGGCCACCCCGTGCCTCTCTCACCTTTGCCTTCTTCCCCTTTACCTTTTTCCTGTTGCTGTTGTTTCCTGACAGATGGGGCCGCCAGCCCTGCACGTGACGAGGAGGATCTGGATGTGCTGCCAGCTCAGGAGTGTCAGAGCAGCCCTTTCCACACCAATCACTGTGCTGGTGAACCCCCCGTGCCAGGAAACCTGGTTGGCCTTCACCTTTGTTTACTGCCTTCTGTGTTGGTTCCCCAAGGGAGCCCTTACCTCTGGAATTTCAATCCATGGCAGCAGGAAAGCACTTTGGGAGTGTGTGTGAGCTGGACAGCCTTGCTCTGGGACTTGGGGGTTCCCTCCAGGCTCTCCTCGGAGGTGTGAGGGTCTGCAGGGCACAAGTGGCACTGGGCACAGGCCATTGGCATGGATGGGGAGTGATAATTCCTTCTCTCCTTTGCGTTGGCATCTGCTGCAAGGAGCCCATCCTGCAGCTGATCCTCACAGGAGGAGCTCCAGGACTCCCCCCATGGGTGAGTCCTGCCTCGGTTGCCTCCCCCACTTTCCATCAGGCCCCCCCTCCCTCTCCCTTGGCGTGTTTTGATGGCCTCAGTGCCCTGGGGGGTTTGCAGGATTGTTCACTTTTTCTGTTCCCATTCAGAGGCGACTCCCGTTTCTGAAGGAAACCTCCCTTTTGATGGGTTCCTCTGCTCCGTGTGCTTGGCTGCTCCATCTTTGTGCAGGGGCCTCTTGGAGGCTGGTTTTTCATTTCTGCCATGCCTTTACTCCGAGTTTCTACCGTGATCTTATGAAATGCACTCCCCTGCTGCCTGCAGCACGTTACCTTTTCAGCTGCTGCTTTTTAATTTCCTTTCAGCCCTTTCTCGTTTGTGTTGCTCGTCGATGAAGAATTTGGGGCTTTTTTTGGCTCTTAAGGGATTGCTGAATGTAAGTTCTTTATTGTTATTATTGCAGTTGAATAGATTGAGCATTGAATAGATCTTGCCTGTCATCCTGTGCATTGCTGAGGGTTGAATCCGAAGCTCTGAGCTCTTTTTTTCCTTCGAGAAGGAGTTGTCCGTGCTGCCGAGGAGCTGCACTGCTTCCTTTCAGGAGCTGTTCCTGAGGCTTTGATTATTGTGATCAGAGCTTTTAATTGTGTGGAAGAAATGATCCCTTGTAACTGCAAACTGCAAACCAGAGTGAGCAGCTTGTTCTGAAAGCTGCTCCCATCCTGCCCTTCTCTGAGCCCCGAGTGCCTCCTTCGGCTCCTCGGGATCCCTTACAGATCACAGGATGGTTGGGGTTGGAGGGACCTTAAAAACCATCTTGTGCCGCCCCCTGCCACAGGCAGGGACACCTTCCACTAGCCCAGGTTGCTCCAACCTGGCCTTGGACAGTTCCAGGGATCCAGAGGCAGCCACAGCTTCTCTTGGCAACCTGTGCCAGGGCCTCTCCACCCTCCCAGGGAAGAATTTGTTCCTAATATCTCATCTAAACTCTCAGTTTGAAGCCATTCCCCGTGTTCTCTCCCTCCAGGCCTTTGAAAACAGTCTCTCTCCATCTTTCCTGTTGGCTCCTTCAGGCACTGCAAGGCCACAATTAGGGCACCCCAAAACTTCTCCAGGCTGAACAATCCCAGCTCTCCCAGCCTTTCCTCCCAACAGAGCTGCTCCAACCCTCGGATCCTCTTGGTGCCTCCTCTGGACTCTCTCCAGCAGCTCCATGTCCTTGCTGTGCTGTTCCCCAGGGCTGGAGGCACCTCTGCAGGGTGGGGGGGTCTCACCTGAGTGGGACAGAGGGGGGAGAACCCCTTCCCTCCACCCGCTTTTGGTGCAGCACAAGTTTAGTTGCAGGATTCCTGTTTGGAGGCATCAGTGGAGGCAACGGCGTTTGGAGAAGCTGAGCCACAGGAGCCATTTCAGCCCCGGGTTGTGCCCACAAAGGGCTGTGCAGAGCTGTGACCTCTCAGCTGAAGTCAACATTTTCTTCCTGCTGCTTTCAGAGGCAGAAGGAGCCTCTCTGCGGGGTGCAAGTTGTTTTCTCTCTTAAATATGAAATGTTAACACTCCCCAGAGTATGACTGCAGTACAAAGTTGAGTCTAAAATTGAGTAAGTTTTAGGCCTGGAGCTTCCTTCAGCCAGTGCTTGTCCCTGCCAGGGCTGCTTTTCCCACCAGCTACACATTTTCGTACTCAACAACGTGATGTGACAGCGAGGAAGAGTCCTAGAGGCTAAATAAGCAAGTAGGAAGGTACAGACACCGCTTATTTTTTATTTATGGGTCCCTGAAAGCGTGATGCATATTCTGCTTCTCTTGGAGGACTGAAGGAGGGCAGAGCTGGTGTTTCTCAGAGGTTTTTAACTCCTGGTTTCTCACCCTGGCTGCCTGTCCCTTGGATCCTGCGGCAGGACAGGCCCCAGCTGTTGAGAATTCCAGTTCTCTGACATGGTCAGCGATGGAACAGATAACACTGACCTCTGTTTGCAGGGCAAGTGCTGCCAAGTGCAAATTATCCAGGCTGGATTGAAATGAGCTGTAACATCAGCTCTGTGGCTTTGTGCCTCCCAGGCGGGTGGCACCGTGTGGGGTGACGTGGGCACCCTCTCCCCCAGTGCTGCTCACTGGGCAGAGCTGTTTGATTTGCTCCAAACATTCATTTCACAGGGTGCTGCGAAGGGGATGAGGGACCAGAACGGGCCCTGGGGTTGAATTAACATGGTGGTGGGACTGGTGGGGCAGGTGAAGATGTTTGGGTGCTGCTGCTGCCCGGGTGAGTGTCCTCCTGCTCCGGTGGGGTTTGGTGTGGCTGTGCCTGGAGCTCTGGTGCTGTGGGTCCGTTGCAGCTGCTGGAAGTGCTGCTGGACACGTGGAGAAGGTGGGATGGGATCCATAGAATCATAGAATCAGCTGGGTTGGAAGGGACCTCTCCGAGATCATCCAGCCCAACCCTTGATCCAACCCCGCCGTGGTTCCCAGCCCATGGCACTGATGCCACATCCAGTCTCTTTATAAAGAACTCCAGGGTCGGAGAATCTACCACCTCCCTGGGCAACCCATTCCAATGGCTGAGCACCCTCTCTGCAAAGAAATTCTTTCTGATATCCAACCTAAACCTCCCCTGGCACAGCTGAAGACCGAGCCCTCTTGTCTTGCTGATGGTTGCCTGGGAAAAGAGACCAACCCCCCCCGGCTCCCCCCTCCTGTCAGGGAGTTGCAGAGAGTGAGGAGGTCTCCCCTGAGCCTCCTCCTCTCCAGGCTGAGCCCCCCCAGCTCCCTCAGCCTCTCCTCACAGCACTTGTGCTCCAGTCCCTTCCCCAGCCTCGCTGCTCTTCTCTGCCCCTGCTCCAGCCCCTCCAGGGCCTTCCTGAGCTCAGGGCCCAGAGCTGGACACAGCACTCCAGGGGTGGCCTCCCCAGTGCTGAGTCCAGGGGCAGAATCACTTCCTTGGACCTGTTCCTGATCTGTTCCTGATCCAGGCCAGGATCCATTGGCCTTCTTGGCCACCTGGGCACACTCTGGCTCCTGTTCAGCTTCCTGTCCATCCCCACTCCCAGCTCCCTTCCTGCCTGGCTGCTCTCCAGCCCCTCTGGCGCAGCCTGGAGCTGCCGGGGATTGTTGTGGCCAAAGTGCAGGACCCGGCCCTTGGCCTGCTTGAACCTCATCCCGTTGGAATCAGCCCAACTCTCCAACCTCTCCAGGTCCCTCTGCAGAACCCTCCTACCTTCCAACTGATCGACACTGTGTGTCTGTCAGTCCATTGTCTGTGTTCAGGCCTCGGCTGCTCAGCACCTTCCTGGACAAGGTGTGTGGGTCCGTGTGCCTCCGGTGTCCCACGGAGATGGGAGCTGGGGGAAGAACCAGGGTGGGGAGAAGTGTGGAGACAGAAGAGTCACATCACCCGTGTGATGAGCAGAGCAGGGCTCAGCCTGGGAATTCCACAGCTGCTGAGGAGCACAGCAGGGCGGGGGGGTTATGGTTGGCTTTGCCTTCCAGAAATCGGGAGCATTAAACTGGGCTGACAGGCTTTGAAATGAACCCCTCAGCCAAGACTAAACTGTCTTCTCAAGGGTGGAGGAGGAGTGAACCAGGAGGGAAACAAAGTGATGGGACCAAAGGAAGGCTGGAGGGCAAAATGCAAACCCAGGGACTGGGAGGGGACACGGTGGCTGCTGTCAGGGACAGGCTGTTGCTGGCTTGACACCCTCTTACCCTCTTGCTCTTCACCCTCAAGAGCAGATGCTCCCAACAGCAGCATCTGCCACCACAGAGGGGACACGGACACCAGCCTGGCCCTGCAGCCAGCTGGGAGAGCAGCAGGAGGAAACACAGCCTGAGGGTGATGGGATAGAAACCTTGGGTGACTTGGGTCCTGAGGAGGGAGGGGAGTGGCTTTTGGTGCCGGGAAAACCCACTGTGGGCACGGGGTGAGGTGGGCAGTGTGACTTTGTGTGAGGAAAGCAGAGGGTCCTCCTCTCTTCCTCTCACTGGGAGACCTCCCTGGTGCCTCCAGGTCCTGGCAGAGGTCACGGTCATCCCTCTGTTTGCACACCTCTGGAATGGTGCAGAAACCAACAGAAAAATCAACAGAGAAATCTTTTCACCCCCGTTGGGAGATTTTTAAATGAGCTTTTGCTGCCATAAAAAAATTCCTGGACGCTTCTAATATTCCATTGGTCTGAATCCACCTGGACCCCACAAAGTGTGTTAGGGGGGATCTACCAATTCTCATCCTTCTCTAACTCCGTTTTCCCCGTTCCCATAACGCCCTGACACGGAGCAGACCGCGGCATTCCTGTTTTTTATCCCTCTCCCTGCTCCTGCCGGGGCTGTTCCTGGGTGCAGGACCCCCCCCCCTGCCCCCCCCCCGTGTCTCCCTCTCTCCCTCCCACAGAAGTGTCTCCGGCTGAATCCCGACGTTCCCGTGTGGGTGTCCAAGCAGCGCATCCTGTGCACTCTGAACCACAGCCTGAAGGATGTGCTCAACTACGGGCTCTTCCAGCCGGCCTTCAACGGCAGGGCCGGCAAGTTCCTGGACGAGGAGCGGCTGCTGCGGGAGTACCCCCTGAACCCCGACACGCCCGTGCCCTACCTGGAGGTAACCCCCTGCTCGAGCTGATTAAATTCCATTTCTGGTTTATTTTTCTCTTATTTTATTTATTTTTCTCTTATTTTATTTATTTTTCTCTTATTTTATTTATTTTTCTCTTATTTTGTTTATTTTTCTCTTATTTTATTTATTTTTCTCTTATTTTGTTTATTTTCTCTTATTTTATTTATTTTTCTCTTATTTTATTTATTTTTCTCTTATTTTGTTTATTTTCTCTTATTTTTTTTTATTTTGCGTATTTTATTTTATTCCTTATTTCTTATTTTTTATTTCATGTTGTTTTCTTATTTTATCTTATTTTATTTTCTTATTTCCTTATTTTCTTACATTCTTATTTTATTCTCTTATTTTATTTTTTTATTTTCTTATTTACTTATTTTTTTACATTCTTATTTTCTTATTTTATTTTCTTTTTTCTTATTTTCTTATTTTTTTTCTTATTTTCTTATTTTCTTATTTTATTTTCTTATTTTATTTTCTTATTTTATTTTCTTATTTTATTTTCTTT